ACCCCATTGGAAACTGAGAGACATCTGTAAAAGGAGCAAAATTGGAGACTGAAACAAATTTGTCGAGATGTGGCACTAGTCTGGTGAAATTCAACAAGGAGCCACACTGGTTCTCTTTGAGCTGGACAAGATGGCAACAAGTAAATTTAAACACGGCTCCATCCAGTCATCCCATATTAATCGTATCCAGGTCACTGGATCCAAAGAAAGAGCTAACCTAAAACTGAACTTTAAATTTCCAAGTAGCAAACAAAGATTTGAGACTAAGAGATGTCACTTCGTGGACCATAGGCGTAAGAATTTGGAAATGTAAGTTAAAAAGGAACAACGACCTAAGGAAAATCAAGGAAGAAAACCAAAGGAGTCTGGTGTCTCCAAGTCATTCTGCATGTGAGCTTTTATTCAAAAGGAATAATCCAGACATTTTAAAGATATTTGCTAGAGAAACTATTAATTTGTTCACTAAAGCGTCCAAGACTTAGCTGCAGCAGGATTTCCAGGATTGCACCTACAGGAGCCTGTGGGTGCCTTCACAGAGCTACAAGACATTACCCACTGGCAAGCTGGAGGCTTTACAAACGGTAAGATATTATAAGGACCCTCCTGCTATCAAATGGTAAAAGCACTACAAGTTTAAACTCCACTGAGAAGAGTATCAGCTCTTAGGGTAGAGCCCTCAATCTTCCACACCTTTCTATCAAGCACGATGGTATGCATTTCTTAGGTATTTTAAAAATGTTTGTGGGAATATCTGGCAGTAATCTGAGAATGTATGCACACAGAGAGGGGGTACATGGTAAAAAGCATACCCAACTTCCTAAAAGGATTTAGAACTGAAATAACCCAGCGTTACTCCTCCCACACCAACATGGCCAAGGATAAACTGACGGAGAGGGATGCCTCAGAGGTCTAACTTTTCCTCTCATGTGTACATTTTCTTCTGGGTGCCTTAGAAAAATGGGAGAAGGAATTTACAGAGAAAGCAATGAGGTGTAGAACAGGGAAATAGCCAACAGCAACTTTTATAAAACCGCGCAACTACTGGCCATTAAAGAACAGCTCCTTGGCGTCTCAAGTTGGAACCTGCAAATGTAAATCAGGCCTTTGTGAGACAAACTAAAATAGTGTCCCCTCAGGGTGCACAAATACCACAGTGAAGTCACCAGCTTGAGCTACTCCCCGACACAGGCAGAGCCCATATTACAAAGGTTTTCCCGGGAGAAACGGAAAATTTGCTGTTTGTTTCATGTTACAGGAGGGCCAAGTCACCTATGGGTTGATTCTGATTTATACACAAGATGTTTCATACAGATTAAAGAGCGTCCTAGAAAAGCTCATGAAGTGCCTGGGAATTGGGTGCAATGCTAACTTTGGAAGCTCCATAAACTTTGACAGGGTTGCTCTTGTAAACAGTTTCTCAACCTAATTGTTTTAGAAATGAGAAAAGGCTACCTTTTTGCAAGATCAAAACCCTGTCTGCCAAGTTTCCATTCACAATAATTATAGAATTAACTAAAGGGGCCCTTTAAGAAAAACCCAATCCTCAGCTCAGCTTCAGCACTGCTTTCAACAGGTCCCTGGGTATTGCTACAAACTCACTCACAACTTTATCATCAGATGTAAAAGCTACACTTTTAAACAGCAGCTAAGAAATCTATACAGAGTACTCAGCAAAGATCTGTAAGCGGAAAGCAAAACAGAACTTTTTGGGATCGGGTGCCTGACTGAGACTTCCCTCCACAACACGCAGAAAACACAAAGCGACTTCAACTCTTCGTGGCCAAAGATGCACTGTGCCCTGAACCCTATGTCACTGTAATGGAAGTTAAGTAATGGCAGCTGTCAGAATTCATACTGGTTTTCCTCCATTTTTACATAAAGTGATACATGATCTAATTTGTAACTGTCAAATGTTAAAATACGATTCGGCCTCTCCCTAAAAGGCACTAGTTAAAACTATCATACAGTCTGGCATATGAACATTTCTGAAGGGTTACATAAAAACCTGTCATGGGTGGTCTCCCAGCTGGGGAGCTTAGCAACTAAGGGCACAATGGCTTGTTGCTGTATGTCCTACTTGAATTATATCTCATCATGCTTCATTTTCATACGAAAAAAAGTGACTCATGATCTTCACCAAAACGTGCATACTGCAGGCCTCTTACGTGTGCTCTGACTTCATAAATTGTAAGGCAGGGTCTCACTATGTAGCTGTGGCTGGTTTGGAACTTGCGATGTATGCCAGGCTGGCCTTGAACGTCAGCCTCCCCGAATGCTCCAACACACCTAGCCCTAGACATGATTTAAGTTTTGCGGTGAGAAAAGTGCAACATCAAAAGGAAGCCAGCAAAGCGGCGGCTGGGCCTCCTCTTTCACACCGCTCCCTTGGGTTTCACAGGCTCTGGAGGGGCAAGGCACAATATGCATCACTTGTTTAAGGGTATGTGAAATTTGAACTGGAGGGGAGATTTAATGGATGCACAGAACAGTCATGGTACTTGACTCCATGGGAAATAATTAGTTAGCTACAGCCCACAGAGTAACTGGAGTCAAGGAATGAATACGTTGACTATCAAAACACTCTGATGGCCAGGCCTGGCCGACTTTCCCGAAATTGTTGAGCACAGCATCCATGCATGCATATATACCCGTCATTAAAAAAAAAAAAAGATGGGACAGAAACCAGAAAGATCAACCCCATGCCACATAAAGCTCTCCCTTCCCCACCTCCTCCTCCACACACATTTCCTCCAGGACCTCATGCCCAACCCAAGAACAAGTACAGTGAGTTCAGTCAAGACTTCATACACTATCCAAATAAAATGTGTAAAGCACGTGTTTACAATAACTAGATTGCTATGAAAATATTGTAAATATTTTTCTTAAGAGTAAACCCACTGGGCATGGTTGTTCACACCTTTAATCCCAACAGTCAGGAGGCAGAGGCAGGCAGATCTCTATGAGTTTGAGGCCAGCCTGATCTACAAGGCAAATTTCAGGAAAGCTAGACTAAGACCCTGTCTTATGAATGCCATTTAGCAACCAACGGAAGACTTTTTCAGCAAAATCAAGTCCAAGCATATAGAAAATGTTCGAATGAGGTGAAAGCGCCCTTTGGCCTTGTTAGTAACATGGCCCAAAATAAGCATCTCTGGCTCCCAACAGCAGCCACCTAACCTGTTACTCTCTAACCCTAGCACACTGTATCAGCAGCAGAGAACTGACCAGGGAGTAGTCTATCCCTCTGCAATCACCTGAAACAGACCTCCGCTCCTTGGCCTAGAGCAAGAGGAAAGCCAAGACTGACGTCCATTGTTCAGAACTTTTCAACTGCATCTCAGGCACTTGGGGGACATCAAGGTCTTTTCTTTGGGTTTTTTTTTTATTCTGAAAATGGATTAAGCAAGACTTCAAGGGAATTAAGAATTGAACACAAAAAAAATTAAGTAAAAGGTTAAAAATAACTGAACATAAATTGCAAAACTCATTTTGGGCAACTGAACAACTTTCAAGTGCCTTAAAAGAGTCTCGCGAGACCGTGGGCACCCTGGAGGGTCTCCCACTGTCTGGAGAAAGGCACCTGCCCCAAGACTCTACTTCTACACTTCTGTACTGTTCCAAGACTTTAAAATAACCCAACTCATTCGTTCAGTCAGTTACTGAAAAGCAAAGGCCTCACAGTTTCATTTTATGAACTTGTTTTCAGAATGTTCCATCTGCCCGGTGAGTCATCCACAAATAAAAAGGTGTTTACTACAAAGGCACTAAATAGTGCTTTTCTAAAACTTATCCCACACATGGTAATTGACACTTTTCAAGGCACTTTCTGTTAAGTCTGAAACCCTGAATGTTTAGTGTGCTGGAAAGCAATGGAAAGAAAACCATGATCAAAGAATCCTTTGCCAACAAAATGTCCCTTTCAAACATCCCAGATATTATTAGCTCTATAGAACTGCCCTGCGTGCTTTGGACAGGCTTGGGGCAATCTGCTCTCTTTGGAAGTGCTCTAGTCCCAACCACTGGTAAAATCATGTGCTCCAAATGCACTGGGAATGGAAGCCCTACACATCCATAATCCCTTTCCCACACTTACATTATTACACTGTTGAACACGACAACGGAATTTTCTATTCGCTTGTATGTCTCAAAAACGAAGAAAAACTTTCCTAGATCAAGCAGGAACTTTGATCCATCCCAACCATCGGCCTTTCCCATCCATGCTTCTGCCGTGAAGTTTCCTACTATACATACACCCCTTTCCTGAATTCTAAAATGATGCATGTTTCCACACTTGCTTGGATCAAAGCAAACCGGGAAGACGGCGAAGAGAGCTTTTTACACCGGAACAAAACTGCCCGGCAATTACAGCGAGTGTCTTCATTACCTTTTTGTTTTCTCTCCACCAGGATTAGCAGTGAAATAGCTCTTAATTAAGGCTGAACAGCTCTAAAGAACAGTAACTTAAAAGTGAACTTCTACTTTAATTACACATAGGCAATACGGGCAGTAAAGACATTTGCATCCCTCAAATTCCCTTATCAGAGCTAAGAGCAATCACTCTCAGCCCCGGAGAGAGACAGCTAAACATTTTAAAGACAAGTGTTTAAAGTAGACCTTCAAGACTCTAACGCAAGCATGAGAGATGATGGTCCTGCCAGGGGCTTCATTAGCGCTTCAAGGGGAAAAGGGGAGTGGGAGTGTTGGTCCAAAATCCTGACTGTTGAAATAGAAAATAATCAGCGGAATAAGAATTCGGTTGGGTTAAAAAGAGTAAGAAAACAGAGATGCTAGAGTGAGACATGGTGGCCTTCACCGGATGTTCAAAGCGAGATGAATTTGAGAAGTTGGAGAAAGGAATTTCTGTGTGGCCCACGCTGGAGAGCAGACCGTCAGCACGCGGCTGGACAGGCCCCTCGGGCCAGACCAGCGCCTCCAGGGAGGCAGCCCCGGAGCTGGGCCGTGAACGAGAAGTAGTGGGGAACAGGGCTGTCACCGCTTACCCAGGTGCAGCGTGAGGTTGATGGAGTTGGGGTACTGCACCCCGGCCAGCATGGTCTGGCTTTGCCACCAGGTGGTGTCGGCCTGGTTGTTGTAGTCGGTCAGGAAGGCTGCCCCGTGCTGCAGGTGGAGTTGGCCGGCGTCGCACAGGTGACAGGACTTGGTGACTCCGGTCACCCCAGTCTGCACGCAGTACTCCTCGGGCGGAGTCCCACACGTGTTGGTAGCCACCACGGTCACATTGAAGGCGGCATTAACAAACTCCGGCATGCAGCGCTGCGGCCGGCCGCCCTCATCCGCGCACTCGTCCATGGCCGCCCGGACACAGCCCGCCGCAGCCGCCAGCACTGCGAGCAGCGGCCACAGCCGCCCCCGGGGCCGCAGGGCCACTTTGGCCCGCCCGCCGCCCGTCATCCCACCACGCTCGGGCCCTTGGCGAAGGCTGGGGTGCCCCGAGGCTGCTCCTCCGCTGCGGGCCGAGGCCGGGCTGTGGACCAGGCTGGCGGCCGAGAACCGGGCGCAGAGCCGATGAGTGGGCGTCCTGGGCGAAGACCACGGTGCCTCCGCTGCCTCCCGGTGTGCAGCTCGCACTGTGCGCCGACCCCCGACTTCCGAGCGCGCACCCGAGAGCGCGCCCCAGGAGGAAGGAGCAGGGGGTGGGGTCTGCCGGGTGGGGTGGGATCTGGCGGAGGAGAAAACCCAAGACCGGCCTCCTCGGCAGCTCACGCGGGTCGGGAGCGGCTCCCCGCCCTACGCGTCCTCCCCAGCGACTCCCGGCGGCGGTAGGGGCAACCACTGGCGCTCCGGCCCTGGAGGGCGGTGGGCCCTAGAAGGGAGGTGGGCGGGGCGGGAGCAAGAGGGCGGGGCGCGGGAGGTGGGCGGGGCGAGGGAGCAGGAGGGCGGGGCGTGAGATGGAAGAGGAGAGGGGGCAAGAAGGAGGGCTTCTGGATGGGCGTGACTAGAGGTGGGCTGGGCGAGGGTATAAGAGGGAGGGAGGGCGGCCCAAGGTGGGCGGGGAGGGAGCATGAGTGAAGGAAGGAGGGCGGGGCGTGGGGTGTAGGGCACGGGGCGTTGCATGCTGGGAGGGCAGGGGCCTCGGTGGAGATCCCGCACCCTTCTGGAATCCTTCCCCAGGTTCTTCGTCCTAAGAGGATCTTTTGTCCTGGAGGATATCAGGGACTAAGAGGAAATTCTTAAAGGGCCACGCGGGTGGGTGAGGTGGCTCGGAATCTGTCTTTTGACTTCATGATGACTTGGACCGTGGTCCAACCAGGTGTCAGTCCTTACGGTGGTATAGCCCAGCCACTGCCCGGCGCTGGGGCCTGAAGGACCCCGCAACGGTGCGGCGGCCTGCGTGACCTCGGTCTGGCCACAGTCCCTGGGATGCCTCCTGAGGCGCCGGACAAGCGCTTACCCCCGCTGAGAAGAGACACCCCGGAGTATCCAAGGGGCTGGGTCCAATCTCAGCTTCCGAGTCAATTTCGTGATTTCCTTGCTCTAAATTAAAGTGTAACTGTCATTTACCCTGGCGAGGAAGGAAGTGAGAAGGCTGGGAATGGAATGACATTCTCCCCCTGGATGTGCAGACTCGCTTTGAAATTCTTCCACTGTGTTTGTGTTTCCCAGTTTGCCTTTAAAAGACTCGACATTATCTGGATTCTGACATCTTCCTTTTCGGACCTGCTGAGTCACGGAATAGTGTCAGTGCCAGAATGACTCAGTTGGCAGAGCCCGAGCCAAAAGATCATGAGTTTTAGTCCACATCAGAACTACCTACACGTCTGATAGAACAAGCAGACAGAGGAAGGGAGGTTGCAGTAAAAATGACCAAGCTGAGAGCTGGGTGTGGCAGCACACTGCTGGAATTTCAACCCAAGATGCAAACAGACCCATAAAGCGAGCGCTCCAGACAACGTTTTAAAAAACTTTCTAACTTAATAATACAGTGATAACAATAAATACGATTTTGGCTTCAGGAGTCTTTTTAAGATAGGGATATTGCTATCTGCAAGATGACTCAGCGGGTAAGGCACCTGTCACCAAGCCTGACAACCTGAGTTCAACCCCCAGGGACCACACATACCTACATCCACAACCACATCATGGCACTCGTGTGCCCACATATTTAAACACAAACAGCTGTATATAACAAACGTATTTTTTTAAAAGATAGGAGTAGTGGGCATATGAAACAATGAAATAAGTAAATGATAGATACTGATAGTTAGGGCCGGTGTTAGGGCCACGAGTCCTAATGAAGAGAGCCTTAAGGATGATGAACTACCGTGATCCTAGGGAACTTGGAATACTGAGCCTGCTGGGAATGCATCCGCCTGCCTATTGATGAGATGGTAGAGATTATGTGTGCTAAAGGTCTCTAACTCTTTACCCCTTGGAACTCTTTACAGAAAGAAAATTGGGAGCTATAATAACATTTTAGAAGGTTGAAGTCTATCTATCCCTGGAGGGAATGAGGTCTCCGCTTATTAAACACACCAAATAAATTGGTGTGTGTCTTTTTCATTGTTCTCTTTTGGCTTCTGATGTCCAAAATTAAGTTCAAGCAACTTCATCACAAGCACAGTGTCTGTTACTTGTAAAGCACATGAAGGAACCTTGAATTGACGTCTAAATGCTGTTGTTCACTGGACTATGTTAAAGTAACAAAGTATTGGGTTTTTGTTTTGTTTAGTTTTTTTAAGAAATAAATTGTATCCAACCAATGTGCTTGATGATAAAACTTGGTTTCATTGAGTGGATTAGGGGGATGGGGTGGGGGCAGAGACAGGGGCTGAGACCGTCAATAGTCCAGATGGCCTGGCTCCCACGTCAATCCTCCTGCCTCAGCCTCCCCAATGCTGAGATTGCAGGCATGAGCCACTGTGCCAGTCATCAATTTGTGAGTATTGATTCAAATAAACCAAAGACTTTGCACTACAATTTTTTTTTTTGCACTACAATTTTGAAGACAGTTTGAGAAATCTGGACACTGGATGTTGGATGGTAACAAAGTATTTGAAGTTCCTGGAGGCATCACAGTTATCAATAGACTTGCTATTCAGCAAAAATAAATAAATAAACAAACAAACAAATAAACTTGATGGCACCTCACTGGGGAGATTTCCTTACATCCACTATAGGCTAAGGCAAGAGAATCTTTGGTTCCAGGCCAGTGAGACCCTATCTTCCTCACCTGGCCCCCTCAAAAATGTATGTAAAAAGTTACACCCTTTCTTTCTTCTTTCTTTCTTTCCTCCTTCTCCTCCTTCTTCTTCTGTGTGTTTTGGTTTTTGGTCAAAGGATTCCAGAGCCTTATCTTTTTAAATACACATTCTTAACTACTTTGAAACTCCAGTATATTCTTAACAGACTTGCTATTTATGAGGGAAAATTAAGTTCAGGTTTGTAAAATTCAGATTCTTTTAATACCCAGTCACAAGTGGCTCCAGGGAGCAAGGCAAGTGGGATCAAAGCATGTGGCTATACAAAATGGATGCCCTCCAAAGAACCTGCATAAGAGACTTGTCCTTTCAGGATATGCCGGAATAACTTCAAGGAAGGATGTTCACTGTCTTAACCACCTGTGAATCTATAGGCATGCCCACCCCTATCAAACTTCACAAGAGCACCTGGTCATCAGTCCACGGGGACAAAGCCACTCAGGGGAAAGATTGCTGCTGCCAGTAGGTTACAAGGCAGGGGGAAAAAAAATCAAGAGTTGTCCGCTACCTAAGGGTCTAGAGAGTAAGCTATATAATTAAAAAGAAATTTAAATTGTGTGTTGGTCTTTCAAGATTGTACCTTTGTTAGGTTTTTAACCCCTTACAGTTACCTATGTGTTTGCTTTTCCAGTTTCCAGTCCTTCAGACCTCGTCACCGAGCCCATTGTCTCCACACGCGAGGACATTGTCCTCTCTGCCTTGTTCTTTGTGTCTAGAGATGTTACTCGTCAACAACAACTAGTAATAATAAGATGATGCTAGCCTGTATTTATTATGTTCATTTTTCAGATTTTCTCTGAAGCACCGGATGTGATTGCCTCTGTAGTGCTGAAGAAACTAAGCCATAAGGTTAAGTAACCTCTGACCCCAAGTAAGAAATAAAACAGGACAAAGGCTGCCCCTCTGGCTCTGTGCACAGAGGCTTCCTTCTTCAGCCGTGTAAAGATCATAAGAGGAACAAGGGGGAATGAAGTGCTGTTTTCCACAGCCAAGGTTTCTCAGGTTATCAAATAGGAGTTTTTTTTTTTTTTTTTTTTGATTTTTCGAGACAGGGTTTCTCCGTAGCTTTTGGTTCCTGTCCTGGAACTAGCTCTTGTAGACCAGGCTTCAAATAGGAGTTTAAATTGAGGAGGAACTAAAGTGGTACTAAAAAAAGAAATAGAATTTCTCTCTTCAAAGCTACAGTAATCACACGTGGTATTTTGGGTTAGTTTGGAGATCCTGTCTGTGTCTTTGGTACAAATTCTAGCATAACAAGATAAGAGGCCTTATGTAGCTCAGGTAAAGAAGAACAAGATTCCTCAGTCCCATTCAGTCCTATGTTATCAAATTCAGGCTATCTTAAATTGTGACTCTGGTTTTACAAAGGAGAATAAAAGAGATATCAACATAAGAATCAAAACAACTTTTTTAATAACATAGTTCTTTATGGATTCTTTGGGAATTTCGAATCCCAATCCTGCTCACCTCCCAGTCCCTCCATATTCTCCCCTCACCCTTCAGGGTCCCCACTTAGGGAAACCCCTAAAAGAATCAATTTTTTTAAAAAAGAACACTTTGTTCCTCTGTCTTTCCAACACCTCTTCATTCATCCTATTGGAATCAGAACTGAAGTGTGTCACCAAGTGTACCCTTTTGTCCAACCAGCCCCACCCACAAAGAGTTCATCGCCATGAGTCATTGGTCTGGTTCAAGGCCTCTGGCTACCATCCTCACTGGACCCTCACCGAAACTCCTCTCGGACATCCTGCAGTTGCCCTGAGTCATGGAGATCTTATCAATCCACAGAATTATTTGCTTTACAAACTCCAGCAGGTCATAGATAGGGTGGATGCTGGGGTGACCAACCCAAGGCCCAGGATGTGGGTCTGGGTGGTAGCTGAGCTGGGACTGGGACCACACCACCTCAGTCAAAGAGCAGAGCCAGCTCTCCTAGGCCCATGCCATTGGGGCCAGCTCTCCAACACCCACGGTGAGGGGTGGGGCCATCTCTCCCATGGGGGACATCCATGGTAAGGGGTGGGGCCAGCTCTCCCATGGGGGATAGGGCCAGCTCTCCTGCTATAGAGACCAGCAAGGGGCAGGGCCACCTATTCTAGGGTCAGTGAGGGGTGGGTCCAGCTCAGTACAACCCTTGGATTTCCATGTGCATGGTTGCTATGACCCCCTGCAGCAACACGGGCCATAGACATCAACTCAGACGCCAGTGGCAACAGAACCACAGATCCAGACATGACTCTTGAGAGCAGATTGGGCCTGAACTTTATGGCCCGTGTGGCAGCACAGGCCACCCAGATCAGCGTGTCTCCAGGGGGCAGCAAGGCTCGTTGGTCTCAGATAGCTGTCCAGACATGGGTCTGGGCATCCCTACAGTCCTCGGTGCTAACTGGAGCCATGGACTTCAACTAAGACCTTGGGTGCTGCTGGTCACAGACCCAGACCCAGCCCTGTGTAGCAGCCCAGGCCCAGACAAGATGACCCCATGTGGCAGTACAGGCCACCAATGTCAGCAACCCTCTCCCCACCACTCACACACACACACACACACACACACACACACACACA